AATAACTTTCAAAGCTGTGTCCACTTCACTTGGTAGAGCACTCTTAAGCTTCACTGTCTTACCAAATTTTAACATTTAATTTCAATATTTTATCTCAATATTTTATCTTAGATTTTCTAACCTATTAGTCAAAACTTATTTAAGTCTACATAGTTTTATTGGAAGAAATATTAGTATATACTGCCACTAGGAGAAATTAAAAATACTCTTCTGGGTTGAACAGCTTTTTTTTTTATGGTCATGTGACAGAAAAAAGCAGTATGAATTTTCTTTTGATTTATGCATTTTGCACAACATTAAAATATTTCATTAAGACAACTAAATTAAAATAGTAACTACTTCCACTAAAAGTTTTTAAATAAAATGGGCAATGCATACAAATGTGTGATTATATATTATAATATGAAATATATATATCACATCATTTATATATCAGGTTAAATTGCTCTCAATTTTAAATTACAAAATCTGTAAGATAAGACTTTAGAACAACAAACCATAAAGAAATTCTCAGTGTTTGAGAAGGTACATTTTACCTTTATAAGTTTACAAATTATGCTTGGTTAAAAACGAGATTTTTCACATAGAGTACAAAAATACGGAAGATTCATTCAACTATGAGAATAAAAGAAGTGAGAAACTCAGGTATTTTGTTTTGAAATTCCCATGCTTTAAAAGCTGTATGTGTTTAAGGAGGTCTTAAACTGTGTATTTAACTAAGGCTGAAATTTAAGCATTGCCAAGCATGACCTTAAAATTCCAGGTTCTCCTAAAACTAAAGAATATATTTTAAGTCTTCCATTTCTTTTTCCATCAGTCTCAATTTAATCATCTAATGGCCCTGTTACGACCACTATCTTCTTCCCAGAATCTGGACTTTTCTCTAAACAGAAATAAAATGAGGCTTCTACAAAGCAAGATAGTTGTTTGATATGATTGCCAATATTCTTGTGGAAGAGATAAGCGGTAGGCTAAGACATTCAAATTTAAATCTAGAAATAAGAAATTCTTGACATTTCATAAAACTGAAAGGTTTGATCATGGTTTCATAAAGCTCGCTGATATTATTATGGTATTCTCAGCTTTTCCAAATCTCCTTACTAAGTTTAACTGCAATAGTTCCATGTGGATTACTCAGTATAATAACCTATGTGAATATAATGTGACTGTAGTCTTTGCATCCTGCTTAAACTTTCCTAATTTTCCACTTTCTTTACCAAAGTTAGTCCTCAAGGTTGTTTAAGTTAAAATCTTCAAAGCAATTTCATTTATAAAATTTTTTCTTGAACTTTCTTACAAATCATCTTTACTAAATTATTACATGCAACACAGTTACCTTCATTGATTGAGAAGTATAACTTATTTTGAATGCAAGTGTCTAGAGATTTTTTCTTTTTTTAATTTATTTATTTTTATAAATTTATTCATTTTAATTGGAGGCTAATTACTTTACAATATTGTAGTGGTTTTGCCATACATTGACATGAATCAGCCACAGGTGTACATATGTTCCCCCTCCTGAACCTTTTGAAAGTGGTACTTTGTTTTCTCCTGTTTTGGTTTTCAGACAACTTGGTGGGAGTTAAGGGAAGTATAGAAATATTACTAAATTTCTGTTTGGCAACCCTGTAAGTGACTCTCGCACTAATTTGCTATGCCCTTGGGGCTACTGGTAAAAGACCTGTGATAATGACCGCTAGAGGCAAATCAACCTAGCCTTTTGATGCTTGATTAGCTTCAACTTTCTGACATAGTTTCTACTAGGGTCTCACCCGAATTAGCAAGAACACATAGTCAGCATCTTTTAGTGCAGGTCAAGTGGGGACTGTTCCCTGGGAAAGGATGTGGGTAATTCGGCTGAGAACTGTGCTGGATTGTGTGGAATTGGGTGGGCTACTCAGCCCATTTTTTTCCCCTTCTATGTTTTCCTTTTATAATACTAGCTGGAAGTCTAGGAACTGCATTTTCAAGAATTCTTGTCATTATAGCCCTAGTTAGAGTTTGCCAATGAGAGGAACTGGTCTAAATCTGGAGGGAATACAGAAAAGCAAAAGCAATTATTATTCTTGTGGCTGTGGCTGGCAATTACTAAGGCTTCAGGAACAAGGTTTTTCTAGCAGCTTCCCAGTGTCCCACAAAGAATTACCTGTTATATAGTACAGTGGGCAGTGAAATCAATGGCAGTTGTTTCCTATAATTTAAGCATTTCCTGATTTCCTAAATGGTAGAGCAGCTTCCCTAATCTTTCACATTCCAAGACTTCTAATTCTTTTCAGTACCCTTTATCAAGACATTTACTCTTTGAAATACCTGAAATTACTTCTGATTTCTTAACCGAACCCCAATTGACACAGAGTCTCTGGAATAAAAGGTGTTATAACAGGCATGTAGCTAGATATGAGCATAGAAATAGGGGCAGGTGCCAGGTAGCAGAAAATCACACATCTTGTAAACAGCTGGGGCCCATAGGCAGACAAGAAAAGCAGAACCACCACACTAACAGAAGACCATGCATTTTTGGTGATAAATGTCCTGAAAGCAGACAAAGAAAGGTGCATACTCAGCTACTAATTCAGGCCAGGCAGGGCCATGCATCCCAACAACGTGGTTTTTGCTTAAATCTCCTGCCTCCGAATATAACCTTTTGCTCATTATGCTCTCAATAGAATATGATTAGCCTAACAGATAAGTACCCATCATGCACCAATGCCTTGAACTTCTGATCTAAGCTAAATAAGGACAAAAATCCCTCCTCTCCTTGGGAAGACAGACTAGGGGTGAAAATCAGGGAAGATGACCCACAGATTCCTCCCTCCCCAGTGAATATTCCACCCCTCCACTTGTATGCCCCTCATGACCAGCTTGCCAAAGAAAGCCAGGGCAGCAGCTCCTCACCTGTCTGCCTGCTCTCCCTCTGAGAGCTTATTCTTGCTTAAATAAATGCTCACTTTACTTTTTCAGCCTCTTTGCTTCCTCTCTGAATTCTCTCACAACTGAGAAAGAATCTTAAAATTTACAGGAACAAAGGGATCTGGAATTTATCACCTTCTTTTTCAAGCCCTTTGGTGGTCCTGATTGAAGCGAGGAATCAAGGACCCCAGATAGGAACACACCAAGAGGAAAGGAGAAAATGGGCTGATGTTCTGTGATCAACTGCAGCGTGGTCCATATGGGGAGAGTTTATTTGGCAATATGTAACTAAGAATGAAAAAACATCTGCCCTTAAGCATTCAGACACAATGAGCATTCTTCAGAATTCGTAGCTGAATATGCAAATGACCACTAAAACTTGTAGCTTTGAAAGCATGCAAAGTGAAAGTGAAAGTATCTCAGTCGTTTCCAACGCTTTGCGACCTCATGGACTATACAGTCCACGGAATTCTCCAGGCCATAAAACTGGTGTAGGTAGCCTTTCCCTTCTCCAGGGGATCTTCCTGATCCAGGGACTGAACCCAGTTCTCCCACATTGTGGGTGGATTCTTTACCAGCTGAGCCACAAGTGAAGCCCAAGAATACTGGAGTGGGTAGCCTATCCCTTCTCCAGTGGATCTTCTCGACCCAGGAATCAAACTGGGGTCTCCTGCATTGCATGTAAGGTACCACTATTGTTTGTACATATACTGGACTCACTAGAGCAACTGTAGCATTAAAAACTGATGCATCATATCGCATTTCCTGGCCTCACAAAGAGAGAAAAGTCATCCTCAGCCAAGATCCTCCAAATCTTCCAATAGATTCACTAGCAGACTTGCCTCTGTGATATTTCCTTCATTTTTGTTATAACAGAAGAACTCAGGATGAACCAATTCAACACCAGTACGTCCTCCTGCTTTCTCAGTGATCTCTAGCTTTTAGTTATCCTGTCTCCTTTTCTATCTTCAGCCTCTTTGCCAACAACAAGGATGTTAATAAGCATGCCAATATGCTCTGAGAACTCACAAATACAGAAGGCTCTCTTTTGAACAAAATAAGTCACTTTACCAAGTCTTTTATCGGCCAAATTTTCCAAAATTTATTTATTTATTTATATACTGCTTCTGGTTTTTGTTTTTTATTAACCCCCAAACTTCTGTCAACTATTTTAGTATAGCTTCTGCACGTCTTCACTATTCCCTTAAAAATCTTCTCTGGCTATGGTTATTCATTCATTCATACATGTTTTCATTTTACAAATATTTATATAGCACTACATTAAAAGTTGGACTTTAAAAAAAGTTCAAGGGGAATTGTCCCTGCTTTAATTGATGGTGTTTAGGTTGCAAGTGCAATTAGCATCTTTTTGAAAATTAATTTATACTTTGTAATAGAAAAAAACAATAATGCAAACTTACTGCAACAAGTTGAAAAATATGTGGATAAATAACTAAGACAAAATGTTAATATTCTCTCCCCAGCTAATTAGCTGATATTAGCAGTTTACTGTGTATTCTTCCACATATTTCTCTAATACATATAATTTAGCTTATAATACGTGAAACTGCTGATATTCTATTGTTTTTCACTTATAAAAAACAGTATCAAAATATTGAATCTAACATATACTTGCTACAGATTTTTGTTTACTTTTAAATAGCTGCTGAGCAATGAGTGAATGTATTTACCTTTGTTGGGGAAATAAGATTTTTGTATTTACTTTGTTGAGGAAATAAGATTTTCAAAACATCTTCTGCCAAGCCAGAAAAATGGCTTCACAAAGGCAGAAGGGAGAGAAAATCATTTTATTTTTGAATGAGTATTAAGCCAGAACATGAAGAGTCTCACAGATAACCCACTAAGAGAACTAAGAGATTCTAAAGGCTGAAAGAAATCTCACCTTTCTATACAGCCAAGCAGACATAACCCATTCCAAATGTGTTCCCAAGGGAAACAACTGTTATTCAAGTAAGAGGACTTGACAGCACCACTGTCACACATAGTTTATTCTAAATTCATCTAATTGAGATGACCAATTATATTTGTTAATTGGGTTTGCCCAAAGGCAAATTAAATTCTTACCTCCATGACAGGTGGTAGTTTTGCAGTTTGATCATCACTGGGCTCTCACAGAAATTGGGTGATACGGGTGCTATCTTCCTTGATGATTGTGTTTCAGAGAGATGGTTCCTAGGTCCTACAGAAAGATATTACTGAATTGTAAAAGTGACAAAGTACTTCTTGAAGTTTAAAAAGATTTACATACATTTCAAAGAGACTGAGAAAGTATTTATAATTATAAGTTTTCTAAACCAAATATCTAAGAAAAGTGAGGGTAAGGTATCTCTTCCCTTATTTTTCACAGGGAGAACCAAACATTTTTGCTTTTTTTAATTTGTTTTTGTCCTTACATCTTACATATCAAGATCCAAAATATTTACACAAAATTGGATGCCCTTTTTAAACCACAAAATGTTATCTCGCAATAATTGAATAGTTGGGCTCACCAAGGTTGTTAACTATATAGAAGATAGAAAAGAGACAATGGAAATGAGGGATAAAGATAAGAATTTATAGGATGAGGAAATCAGTAAGGAATGAAAATAATACATATTGATACAATTTTTAGACAACTGAGCAAGATTAGTTATCTACATACAAGCAAATTTTGCCAGTTTTTATTTTGGATAGGTAAGCAATCATGATCAAACACAATAAATTCCACAGATTATTTATCCTAGTTTAATAATAAGATCATGAATGTTGCATTGAAAAATACACAGACTAAATCTGGTTGGAGATTAAGATGTTTCTCTATTGTAGAAATTCGAGTATATGTTGAAAAACCGCAACTATTAAAACATGAAAGTAGAAATGAAATAAATCACAGTTAAGCAAATAAGAAAATGCCATACACCTATCTCATCACTTCATATCTGGATAACTATCTAGTATGTTTCCCTTTTTCATTCAGGTTTTTTCGTGAACATGATCAATCAGCATACTTACATCACTAAATTATACTTAATTTTGTCTTTCTGATCCTTTCATATTTCCTGGCTCCATGTTGTTGTTTTAGTCACTAAGTTATGTCCAACTCTTTGCAACTCAATGGACTGTAGCCTGCTAGACTCCTCTGTCCATGGGAATTTCCAGGCAAGAATGATAGAATGGGTTGCCATTTCTTTCTCCAGGGGATCTTCAGACCCCGGGATTGAACTCACAGCTCCCGCACTGCAGGTGAACTCCTTTTCACTGAGCCCCCTGGGAAGTCCCCTGGCACAAAGACAATATCCAATAACTGTTTAACAGATTAACTTTTAGAATAACTTTATTCTAAACCCAATAATTGGTTATTGGATTAAATATTAGAATAACTTTAGTTTAAAGTTATCTAAGGATGAATCTTGTTCTCATCTTTTTTCTTTAGAGGAATACTAAGCTTTCAAACTAAGCCCCCAAATGGTTCCTTTAATTTGCTAAATTATTTTTACAATATAAAAAATAACTTCAATCATACAATTAGAATTTGTATAATTAGAATTTGTATTGTATTTATATTCATTGTCATCTCAATCATAGCTAATGGTTACTATTCACTGAGTGTTCACTATAGACCTGGTATACATTTTATGAATGATGTCAACTTACAAAATAGTCACAACTGAAAAGTTGAGAGCTATGTTTCATTTGATGGAAATATTTAGGACTTCAAGCCCAGGAGACAACATTTCAAGTGACCTTGAGAAAACTGCTCCAAGGAGGCTAGGGGAGGAGCCAGATTATATAGAAATTTTACAAAAAGGGTAGGTAGTATGAACATCGAAAGACTATTGTTAATTAAAGGAAACGAGATATCTCAATTTAAGGAATTTAGCACTTTTCTATGCATGGGAAGATGCAAGAGTTTGGGCTCAGTGAAATTGTTCTTTACATATAAAACTCAGCTCTCTGGGGCCAGTATGCTGCCTCCTGAGTTCCTCAGAGTTCAATGTAGGGGGTGGTTGCTGTCTGATAGCTGCCAGATCACAGATTCTCTTCTCCTTCCTGAGAGCCTTTAGGCATTGGAGGACTGGACTCGCTGAAGGCTGTGACATCCTTGTTTATTAATATGGCAGGAAATATTCCACTTCTTAGTCCCTCCCCATCGTCGGAAATTTCACCAATATTTGGGAGACATTTCATGACCTTTTTTTTTTTTTTTGGTCCCAAGGCATTGCTCATACCAGATCAGGTAAAAGTTCTTGTGGATACGCCAGTCCACTTGTTAATTTTCAGGTTAGGCCCATAGTTAGATGGTTAAAAATTCTCTGGATCCTCTACCTTCTAACATTTTAGGATCCAGGAGGTATTTCTCTTATTGTTTCTTCCCATACTTGGAATCACAATATTACAATTGTTGATGGCATATAGAAGTATATTTCTGATCAATTGCTTTGAGTCACCTAGTCATCATTACATTTGTTGGAGGCCTACTGTTGCATACTGTAAAAGGCAACCCTCTTGTTAAATAGACAGATAGGGGTAATGTGCCTAGTACCGTTGACAAAGTCATGATGCAGCAGAGAGACAAAAGCATAAACAATTTGGAAACAAAGAACAAATTAAAACAATGATTAATATAACTAGTTTTAATCCAGTTATAATGACTGAGCAGCCAAAGGAGCTATAAGTGATTGAATGAGCCATCTGTGGTTTCCTTGTATAAGCTGTACACACTATGCATGGCTTAATCTTTGAGACAAACATATGCTAATGGCAGGGTTAACCAGGTAGAGAGAAAAAGATAAGTGTTTCATCTGCATTTACAAAGGCATACTTTATCCATTTGTGGTAGGTCACAACATAAGAGAGAAAGTTTTACTGGAAAATAGACTCGAGCTAGTATATTTTCCATCATCAAAGTTATAGATCACATTTATCAAATTATTCAGTCCCATTAATTGATTTCCATTGATCCACATGAAGTGATCAGGTTTTCCATTAGTGTTTGTCATTTGTTACCCAGTTTAGTACAAAGCTAGTGGAGGCGATAGAATTCCAGCTGATCTATTTCAAATCCTAAAAGATGATGCTGTGAAAGTGCTTCACTCAATATGTCAGCAAACCTGGAAAACTCAGCAGTGGCCGCAGGACTGGAAAAGGTCAGTTTTCATTCCAATCCCAAAGAAAGGAAATGCCAAAGAATGCTCACACAACTGCAGAATTGCACTCATGTCACACACTAGTAAAGTAATGCTCAAAATTCTCCAAGCCAGGCTTCAACAGTACGTGAACTAAGAAATTCTAGATGTTCAAGCTGGATTTAGAAAGTCAGAGGAACCAGAAATCAAATTGCCAACATCTGCTGGATCATTGAAAAAGCACAAGNTTGATACTTTTGAACTGTGGTGTTGGAGAAGACTCTTGAGAGTCCCTTGGACATCAAGGAGATGCAACCAGTCCATCCTAAAGGAAATCAGTCCTGAATATTCATTAGAAGGACTGATGTTGAAGCTGAAACTCCAATACCTTGGCCACCTGATGTAAAGAACCGACTCGTTGGAAAAGACCCTAATGCTTGGAAAGTTTGAAGGCGGGAGGAGAAGGGGATGGCAGAGGATGAGATGATTGGATGGCATCACCAACTCGATGGACATGAGTTTGAGTAACCTGCAGGAGTTGGTGATGGACAGGGAGGCCTGACGTGCTGCAGTCCATGGGGTCGCAAAGATTTGGACACAACTGAGCGACTGCACTGAACCGAGTTTATAAAGTACAAAATTAAAAATAGCATAGTTAAAGATTTGAGTACAATGCAATTAGCAGGAAACGTGGATGTTTCTGCAACACATAACATTTTAGGATAACCAATAGAAATGACTGATAATATTATATCAAGGCATCTCAGATATTAGTGAGTCCATATAAATTTTGCAGTATCCATATTAATGTCATTTATCCATACATTACAACCTAAAGTTCACATTCAATCACTGGGCAGTGTTTTTGAAATAAAAGTATCAAATAAACTTAGCTTAACGTTTATCTCTGAGATGTCTGAGAGAGGTTTCTTTGAAGCACCCCAGAGTTAATTGGAGTCTAAAAGAGCTTTAGTTATATTATGATATTTGGGGAGTTTGTTAGAAATATTAAAAAGATTTTAAAACACAACAGGATCATAGGTCACTGAAACAATGCTCATTCATTTAACCAAAGTCACAAAAACAGTTAAAAGAAAACAAATACAGATTACTTAAGAGCACAGAAACTCTCACAATTTGTTTTCAGAAAGGAGCACTTTTAATAGAAAGAGAAGTCAAATTTCAGTCTTGCATTAGCTTACTTAACAAAATCCATTTACTCAGTTAACTTCAATCTAAAGTTTATTAATCCTGAATATGCATAAAATTTTTTCCTACTCAGGGTTTCTTTCACTTTCTGTATCCAGCCTGTTTCTCATTTTCCACCTAAAGCAATCAAACAGCTCACTTTTTTTACTCAATAAAATGTGATTCCATTTCTCGTAACTTCTTTACTGAGAACAGACATTCTACTGCTAACGGTCTACTGAAATGTTAAGCTATTCTGCCTTAATTACATGTCTAAATTATAAGCCTCAACTCTTAAAACATTCATTTTTAGTAAAAGCTAAGAAGTAAGCAATTATGAGTGATCTTTTACATAGGCATTTTATAGGTTGGTGAGCATAAACATAAGTGATATTTTCTAAAAACATTTGAACATCTGAGACCATCTCAGGGTGACACCAAATACTTTCATTAATAGTGCTAAATAACTTTAGGACTCTATTTAGTCAATGATGTCTCAGGATCTTCTAACTATTTAATAAACTTTCATCATTTAACTTAAATAAGCATAGCTCTAGAACTTCAAGTTACCAAATATCCAGAAAGATTATTTTAAGTAGACATTTCTAAAATAAAGGGTTTACCCAAAAGCTCTTGTCTCAATTACTCTAAAGCTTCATCATATCGAGTTATTTTCCTTGCAACAGATACAATGAGGTGTTACTTAGTAAACTGAAGTAAAATATTATATTTAATTTTGATGATTCAATGACATGTCTATATTAACTAGATACATTAAAACATTAATACCAGCTATCAACTTAATATTGAATATTTCCCAGTTCATGTGAACCTGAAAGTAACCTTGGCCAGTTTCTTTAAATGTTAGCACTTTCTTTTCAAATTA